CAACTTGTTCTGTTGTTTATGCTACAGTTATCTGAAGAACTGTTCATATGTTCTTAGTCTGTTGTTTTCTGTTCCTTTGTTATTACTAGAACTTGTCTTTCAAGATGAAACGTCAGTTCCAAAAAGTGTGACTTATAGTCCAGTGTGATTTATATATGTTTTTTTCTTCTTCATTACACATTTTTTGGCTGGTGTAACTTATACTTTGGAGCGACTTATAGTCAGAAAAAATATTGTAATAGTTAAATAAACAATGTGATTTTTTTTTTACATTTAACGTTATAAGAAACACATTTTAGTTTTGCATTTTTTTCAGTTCAAGCCGTAGTGTGTCGACATAATATTACAATGATTAAAGACATAAATTTGGGGACCTGGGGCAAGAAGCTTCACATAAATATAAATTAATAGGTTGAGGGTCCAATTAGTGTTGTTCCGATACTATTTTTTGGGAACTGATACCAATACTTGGCCTTAGTGTACTCGTCAATACCGATACCGATACCAATCTGATACCCCATAGTGTGAAGAAGAGACTAGACTAAGGCTTCTCAATTTCGTTACAGTACAAGAGCAATAAATCAGTCTAATAAAAGGCTGTCTCTAAAGAAAACCTAGAAGAATAAATTAGATTTTGAGAACCAAGTGTCAAGAGTCAAATATATAATGATCTTGACCATAAGTACTGCTGATTTAAACACTTATACTCCCCTAATTTGATGCTTTCTACCGTAGTGCATGAATAAAACCAACAGTGAGGCCTAGAAAAAAATATGAAAAGTAAATAAAGTCCGGGTTAGGGCTGTTGCAGCTGTTGTCAGGCAATTTCAGAAGGCACTGAAAAAATATAGATATAATTGTGATATTTATTGATTAAAAGGCCTTCAGTACTACTGATCATCATATTTTAAGAAATAAACTGGGAGATTATGGCATTCGAGGACTGACAAAAATGGGTTTAGGGACATAACTTGTGGGGTACCTCAAGGTTCCATATTGGGGCCTACACTATTCATAATGTACATTAATGACATGAATGAAATTTGTACTTTTTGCTGACGATACTAAAATTATATGTCCAGGGGAGAATTTGAAGCAGCTTTTGGCTCAAGTAACTGTGTAAAAGAATAAGCTAAACAATGGTTTGATATAAATAAATTATCATTGAATTAAAAAAGAAAAATACTAAAGTCGTGTTCTTTGGAAATTGTAAAATACCTGTCCAAATAACCATTGCTAACACATGTATTGATAGAGCTGAACAAAATGTATTTTTGGGAATAATAAGAGATGAGAAAATGTCATGGAAACCTTATATAAGTTAAGTTACTTGCGGCTAAAAGTTGCTAAATGTGTGGGAGTGATGAAAAGATCAAGTCATTTACTAAACCAGAAAGCACTACTGTTACTGTATCATTTATTTGTTATGTCTTATTTAAATGATTGTGTTACGGTGTGGGGAAACTGCTATAAGACTCATTTACTGCCCTTAATTTCACTGCAAAAGAGAGCCATTAGGATTGCTCGCAAGGTCCACGATCTGCATCCAACAAACTCACTTGTTTTTAACATCATCAGACTTAAAAATTCATGATCTGGTAAAGTTTTAAACAGCTCAAATTATGTTCAGGGCATCTATCAACTCTCTTCCAGCTAATTTAAAGTATTTATTTCAAGATCGAAATGCTCATCATAACTACAAACTTAGAGGTAATACACAATTTGATCAGCCAAAATTTAGAACTACTTTAAAGTCAATGTGCATCTCAGTACGTGGAGGTAATCTCTGGAATGGATTTTCAAAAGAACTAAGAGTGTGTAGGCACCTAGTTCAGTTTAAAAAGCTATTTAATAGAGAAACTACGAAAAAACACCTGATGCCCGCAGCACAGAGCGTGACGTCAGCGGGACGGAGGTGTAGGGTCAGAGAGTGTTGGGCCAGTGTGGTGTCTAGATGAGTGTGTGAACATTTGTTTTGTTTTGTCTTGTCTAGTCATGTATAACATACTAGTCTAATGAATAGTTGAAGTGTTGTTCTGTGAAGTGTGAGAGGGGACTGGAAATGTATAAACTTTGCTTCGTCCACCCCCTTTTCAAACCACACGTCTGAATCTGTGTCTGTACTGTTATGTTGTTAAATGAATTGTAAGGTTTGAAATAACTAACTCACTCACTGAGGCTACGTTCAGGCTGCAAACTGAAGTGACCCAAATCCATTTTTTTCACATGCGAATTTTGACATGCAACAGCCAGGTCACATTCATCCCACCTACACGTCAGGCTCGGAGTCTAGTCAATGGAGGAAAAGTGAGGTTAGCGAGTTAATTAATATTTGGGGAGGTCGCTGTATTCATGATAAATTGGAGGAGTCTTATCTTATTGGAACCGGGTGTTTTTTTAAATGATTGCCAAAGAAATGTCCCGAGCGTGGCTACATGCGGTCCTGGCTCTAATGTCAACAAAAATAGCCTGCAAGCCAAATACAGGGAGATTAAAGACTCAAACAAACAAAGCGTCCGTGGACGTGTAACCTGCCCATTTTACGGAGAACTGGACCGTAGTTTGGGAGGCATGCCCAGCGTTTAGGCGACTTCGATAAACACTGAGCACACTCGCTACATGTGATGTCGCCTTGTCCTCCAATGCACATGCGGGACACATTTGGGGTGTTTAAAGTTCACACTGAAGATCAAATACAAGTCACATTTAATTGGAAATGTGAACGACCTCGCAAAAAAGTCTGATTTAACAAAAAAATCAAAATTGAGCATTAAACCCTGCAGTCTGAACATAGCATAATTGATATTGGCTTTATCAAGACAGAGTTTCAGAATCATGCAGTAAAAAGTACTAGATAAGGCCCCATATAACCTTACTATATAAAGTCATATGAGTTATATTGTTTTTCTTTAGTGATGCATGTGAATGAAGGAGCTCCTTTATCGCATATAACTTACGAACTAAATTACTTTTCTCTCACCTCAGATTTCAGAGTTTGGTGTTTTGCTCAATGATTCTGCAGAAATCCTCAAAGTTCTTCAGTCCCTTCAGTTTTTTTCTTCGTAAACAGCCACATTTGTTTTAATACAACAGACTGTGTGTCGTCCCTGGCTAATCCACCTGACAATCACACCCTATGAACTGAGCTGACCAAATTCACATCTTAAAGTGCTTAAGAAGTGTGTGTTCTGGATTCCATGCAAGTCCAACTATAGTCTTGGTTTAGTTCAGGAATGTAGTAGTTCTAGTTTAGTCCAGACCAAGATTTATTCCGGATTTATTCCTGCTTTTTCCTGGTTTATTGCTTCCATCCACAGTAAACATTTTATAAAGGATCTGTGGCCTGAGACCTCTGTAAAGTGAGGGAGATGGTGGGCGGGACGGTAGGTGGGGGTGGTTGCGCGGGGCTGGTTGTCCGTCTGTTCGTACCAGGTGCCAGCTGCTGAGCTCTGTTAACAGCCCAAGGTTAGGCTCATTTACAGCGTGTGAGACAGGAGCAGAGGAGGGTGAGAGGGGGAGCTGCTGTCTGCTTCTTAACCACGCTGTAAAGGATTCTGTCACAGAGGTGGACAGGGCTGCGCTAGTACTCACGGGCAATACAAGCTCTGTCACTTTTGTCACTTTCCATCTGGTGCCTGCGATGATTGGCTTTCTGTTTTCCTACCTACGCCGAGGGTAGTTAGAGACGCACTGATCCACGTTTTCAGTTAAGGCACCGATTCCGATACTATGGGTTCCATTCACGCTTACGTCACAAAACAGGCAAATGTTTGGAAACATGCGGATTTTGGCTCTGTTGGTGATAACAGCTCTGTTCTCCGTCTAGATGGCATTATCTACTAGCCTGATTCCTCAGCCAGTTTCACTTCGTGGAAACCATCTGACCTCGCAGCATTAGGATTTGTTTGCTTGATGGTAGGTGGGTACTTTTTTAAATTTAACCAATCGCTGCTATTTAGTGTGACGTATGTAATGCGCCAGAACACTTGGTGGTGTCTAAGTAACTGCCGGCACAAGAGCAAACAAAGCAGAGAGTCAAAATCCTCTATCTCGGGAATTGGGATCAGGAACTTGAGAAAATTTACTGTTGTGCTGTACCACAAAAAGGGACCCAAAGCCAGAAATGTATTTTTGGGTCTGACTGACCCGCCCCAAGAGAGTGGGATGGACAAAAAAAAGTTTCTTCAGGTCTATGTGACCCCAACGAGAGCGTGTTAAGTACAATACTCTCAAAAGAGGGCAAAAGCTATCTTTTCCTGTTTGCTCTCTGTGCGGGAGTGCCCTCCAACTCACAGATGAGGTCAAATATCTTGGACATTATGTCACCATTGACCTCTCAGATGTTAGAGACAGTGATAGAGAGTGTAAGCTTTACGGTCAGGCCAATATGCTTGTCTGTAAGTTCTCCATGTGCTACAGTGATGTCAAAATTGCACTTTTTAAATGTTTCTGCCCTTTTATAATGCACATCTTTGGTGCAACTACAAGAAAAAGAGTTTGCAAAGTTTGATAGTGGCCTATTAGTTATTAGTGCCTCCGCTCAATTTCTTTTCTCTCCAAGCGACTAGGTCAGGAATCAGAATACACTAGACAGTTTGCAAGAACCATGGAAGTTATAGACCATGCACCGGCCAATCAGTGAAGAGCTGTGAAGCCATGACATCAAACTCAAGCGCCTGGGTCACTTTTGTGGTTCAGCACAACAGTAAACAAAGCGGTCGAAGCGGACGAAGACAGACATTCTGTGTTGGCAACGAGTCCCGAGATCGAGGATTGAAAGTCAGAACAAAGAGAATATTTGGTGAATTTTGTCAAGAGGAAAGACGTTGCACTTCTTCCTACGGGATTTGGGAAAAGATTTGTTCATGTGTTTTACCTTTGCTAGAATTGTTTTGTTGTTTTTTTGCTCCAGTATCTGTACTTTTACTTAAGTAACAAAACTGAGTACTTCTTCCACCTATCAAACAGCACAGCTAAGGTCAGAGCAGATATTTGCGTACCTGTAGTAGATGACCGGGGGGTTGGCCTTGGCTCTGCACAGGAATCGGACGAGGTTTCCCTCCAGAACAGGCTGAGGCTCCACTGTCAGGTTCACAATGGGCAGATCTGAGAGTGAAAACACAGGCAAAAGAGTCAGAATGTGAGAGGACAATAGATAAGGAAAATGAAAAATCAATTCTAAAAAAGAAAATAGAAAAAGCTGAAAGATGGAATGAGATTTCAACAGAAAAGGTCTCTTATTGTGAGGTTCACTGTAGTTTGAAGTCAGTAAGGCTGAACGCAAATCTAGAGTTAAAGGTGCAGTGTGTAACTTTTTAGTTGGGGGTCCTTCACCTGCTTGTTTCTATGGATACGTTATTGCTGTGCCTGAAATATTCCACAGTATGACATTAAACAAGTCTACTTTACTCATTAAATTACAGGTTTTATAGCTCAAAAATTCCTAGAAAAACAGGCATTCTGACTCTGAGTAGGGACGCCTCTCCACAAATCTGGCCTGTAACTTGGTCTGGTTTGGTCTTCATGAAGATAAAAAGGTTTAATGCCACACTGTGAAACATTCCAGACAAAGCAAGTCTGTTCCTGAAAATAAAATTCCCCCAAAAAGTGCAACTTATACTCCAGAGCGACTTATTGTACGGAAAACACGGTAATTCTTTTTAAGTAAGCCCATTCTGTCCAGTTTAAAAAGTTCTCTAAAAGTTCATCCTCTCGGTGTTTGCACAAAAACACATCAGTTTTTATTTTTATTTTATCTTTTCTAAGGAGCAGATAAAGAGTTTTTGCGTGATGGATGGATCGGGCTGGAGCAGGTCCACAGCTCGAGTGGGACCCTGAGAGGAAAGGGATGTAGTTACGTGGGAGGTGTGATATAGCTCTCCGGATCAAATTAGACGCAGATCTGACCCGTGTAACAAATACTTAAAGTCGCTTAAGGCCAAATACTGAAGATAGACAACTGCGGATATGAGTTCTGGTGTAAACTGGGATTTTGAGAAACTAAAGAAGCTTTGAATAAAGGCGTTGGCGAGAGAGAACATATTTTACAGCGGGCAGTTTCTTGGTCATCTAAAATCACCTTTTTCATTTAAATTTTTTACTTGTTCCACTCATGAATATGCACAATAGTATATGAATAACAATACATAATGTAGATAATGTAAATAATAGAAGGAATTTCCATGATTTGAAAGAAGAAGCGAGAAAAGGAGCAGATATGAAGACAAAACGAGCCTGCCCCTTTCCTTCCGTTGAGCTCTTTGTTGTTTTATGGTCACGTACTGTATTTCAGTCAGTACTTAGTCTACGTCTGTGAAACTTCAAACCTTCTATTTTTAACTCTTTGTTTTTGTAATATAATGTGATAGGTGAGCTACTGTGTCCAAGTAATTTCCCTCGTGGATCAATAAAGTCTAAGTCTAAGTATAAACGCTGAAAACCACGTCTTTTACTACGTGAAAGAGGAGCTCAAGTGTAAGGCTAAAAAAAAACACAACTCAGGACCAGGGCAGTTGTCCCGGGTCCCAGGGTTTTCCTATTACCGTATTTTTCTGACTCTAAGTTGGATCTTTTTTCCATGGTTTGGGTGGTCTTGCAACTTATATATTACAATTTTCACTTTCAGTTTCACAATTTTCAACTACAGCCACGAGAGGGCGCTTTTGGCTTGTGTGACAGTTTCTGCTACTCCTATTACTCCTGTACCATTTGTCACTTCACTCTACTGTGCATGTCTCCTGCCGAAAGAGACGCTATCCTGCTGCAAGTAGAAAAATATGTAGCCAAAAACAGTAATCGAGCAGCAGAAAGTGGAGTGAGCGAGAAACTTGTGACACCGGGAAGGGGCACCATGCAACTTTCCTGGAAGTCACTGAAGGAATCGACAAAGCCTGGACTTCAGTGACACCGAAACCATCCTGTCGGGATTCAGAAAGGCCAGAATAATTCTAACTGGAACTGATGCTGAGTCTGACGACAGCTACACAGAAGAGGAAGCGGCGCTCAGTTTACGAATAACTGTTCATATATGACGTTAACATACCAGACATTGATTCAGCCTGTTGTTCTCTTGGTCTCTGATTTTCTAAAGCAGGGGTCTCAAATTCAAATTACCTGGGGGCCACATTAGATAAAGTCTGAGTGAGGCTGGGCTGCATTGAGTATTCGATAAATAGCTGTAGGCACGAAAAAAAAGAGAGGGAGAGAGAGAGAGAGAGAGAAAGAACAACACGCAACACACTCTAATAATCTTTAATAACAGTTGAGAACATGAACATGTATTCAGAACGTAAGTTTAAACTAATACGTCTACTCTTCTTCTTTTGCCTACTCCTTGCTGGTTGAAACCTGGCTACGCCCGCGGTAGGGGGTGGGATTGTGTGTACATCTACCGTGGGCCGCACTGACATTATTCTTTGGAATTAAGTGGAGGGCCGCAAAAAATCCTTTCAAGGGCCGCAGTTGGCCCCTGGGCCGCAAGTCTGAGACCCCTGTTCTAAAGTAAATTTCCCCCAAAAAGTGCGACTTATAGTCCGGTGCAACTTATATATGATTTTTTTCTTCTTCATTACGCATTTTTTGCTGGTACGACTTATACAATACTTCAGTACTCCAAAAATATGGTAATTTATATTATAGGGGGCCCATGTGAGGTGTCTTGCCCCAGGCTCCCAAATTTCCGTCGACAGGTCTGCCCCCAACTCACATTTTGAAAGCGATTTTACAAAAACAGAAGAACTTGGAAACTCTGGTCTGAGGAGCTAGAATTTATTCTGCTCTGAGCTAGATATGTCCTGCCCTAAAGGGAGGGTATTAAACTGAAACTGCTCTGTTTGCATGCCATGCCAGCCTTGTTATGGTTCATGTTAGATATTATGTGTCTGTTTTAGGATTACATTATGATTGCTTAAAGGTTGTTAATCAAATAATATGAACATGAAGTCGGAAAAGAATAGAAACTAGACAGTCGGGTAAACAGTGCAAAGCTGCAAAGAATGGAGTCGGATAAAGGTCAATGTGATGCTACTTCCTCTTTGTGCAATATACTTTCTCTCATGTGTAACAGACTGTGCGGACTGGGTGAAAGGTGAAAAGATGGCATGAGGAGAAGACAACTCTGCGAGGAACTGTGTGGACCAATAAGAAGACGACAACACCTGGATGCAACCCAAAAAAAAAGGCTAGAAACCTCAATATTAGACTAGGAAGAGAAAGACTATAAAAAGAGGACAGAAAGAGGAACGAGAGCGGCGCATCCTGGGTTTTGTATTAGATCAGGGACAGGTACTTGAACCCTGCTGCTTTGTTATTCAATATTTTAAAGTGTATTCAATAAACAGAAGTGAATTGAACCCTTCTTCTCCATCAGCGAGCACTTGGAGGAAAGAGGTTAAGGTAATAGAGAACATTTAAAGTACTGCTATTGGGAAAAGTGGAAAGGCATCATACTTAGGGGTGTAACGATGTCCAAGTCTCATGATACGACATAGTCACATATTGTGGGAAAGCTCACGATTAGGGATGTAGCAATTCCAAATCTCTTGGTATGGTATTTTCATGATATACATCTCACGTTGCGATATTTTGTGGAGGCTAACAAAACTATGAATAGAACCACATCAGCCCGTTTGATAACAAATTTCAGCTTTGCACACATTTGTTTACATTTTACAAAAACAAAACTTAAAACCAAATGGCTAATTTGCATAAACCATAAGAAAAAAAAACAGCTCAATCCATGCTGATGTGGTTAAGCTTCTGTCAGACTAAAGGTCAAGAATGTGTGATGTCCTGCTGATGGTGAGTCTGTTCTGTGCTTCTATTGTGTTGGAGATGGTTCATGTTTAACTTTTCAGAGATCATACGTGTGCAGGTTTAGTGCAGCTCTTTATTTACCAGGATACTACTTATACATGCCACAGTATCCCGGTTACTATCAGAATATCCCAGCTACAGTATCCCGGTTTCTCATAACCGGGTACTGGCTTATTCGGGATACTGAACCCGGGGCACTGCGTCTACATGCCCCACAACGAAACTGGGATACTCAAAATACCCAATCATAACCGTTATACTGATGTGCATGTATACGCACTCAATGAAATAAAACACAGTTCCAGAAATGTTTTTGAGGAGGTAACAACATTCTAACATGCTTAACTCTTTCCCCCTTGGACGCCTAGTAGGAACAAACCATGCATATATGACTAGTTCTACCCATAGAGCATAACTGCATAAAAGAAAACAGACTTCCACGAGTGATTATAAATGATTTTCACACTTATGAACTTAATTGAAGCAGACATATTTGGTATCTCTGGAAACCTTAGACTCTGAACTCTTCATTTATGGATGTTTAAATGTGACTCAACTCATTTACAGGTTTATAACAGCTCACTGAAAATGAGAGTTTACCTGGTCAGGTGCAAAATCAAAAACAAAAAATTACATTCATCATCTGATATGAGTACTATATCCATTAAACATTTTTAATACTTTGCCAAATATATTTTAAACAGATTTCATATCACCAGATACAGTATAGCAAAGTGTACATCTGTTTTTACCTGTTGTACACCTGTGTGGACCTAATTTAGATTTTTATTAATAAAACTCTTCCCCATCAGTGGGTGTTCAGTATTTGTCATCTTGTTTACTTTCTCGTGTGCAGAGCTCTGCATAAGCATTTGTTTCTGTAGCGCTTCTGTCCTACATCGTATCTTGAAAAAAAGACTGAAATATTTCAAAGGACTCGCCTGAGCAACATCCAGATTTCAGGGCAATTTTGGTTCATAATCCAGTATAAAGTCCCGGATAGTTTGTTCGGATATCGCAGGACTCCACACAGAAGCATCACCAACATTCTCATCTAAATAAGTTTCACTCTTCGAAAGTCCGTCTCTATCGCTGTTTTCCACTTTATAATCAACTTCATCGTCACTTTGAAATCTATAAAAGTCACTTTCTTTTAACTTATCCATAAAATACATCCGCTCCTCATTATTTCTAAAACTGTGCGCCGCAGCACCGCAATCTTTCAATTGTACGTGTTTCGTGTTGTGTTTTTTCCGGAAGTTACAATCGTCACTACTTCGATTAACTTTGGA